GTGGTCCTGTGGCTGCCGTCGCATCATCGAAGTGGATGCTGCACACTGGTGGTGGTTGAGGAGAGACCCCCACCCCACATGATTGTAAAGCACTTTGGGTGTACAACAATACACAATAAAGCGCTACATAAATGCATCATTCATTCATTCAATATTTGATCGCCAACAGATGTACAAAGCTGTCATTCAAACAGTATATATACAAATAAAAAAAATAAAGGGAACACACACCTAACTGGATATAGGCTACAGCAGACGCGGCTTAATTAAATGGCACAACAGGCAGCTCTCTTTTAAGACAGACTTTTAAGAAGTGATGGATGTTTGCTTTAAGTGATAGGCCAGGTAAGTGAAATTATATTATCTTGCTGTATGTGTGTCGTTTTCTTTACATTTTCTGACTAAAAGCAACCAAAAAGCCATTTCAAAGTGGTTAAGCAAATAATAATAATAATAATAATCGGCAGGGATCCCAGACAAATACAATTAGTGTGCCTCCTCTATTTTAAAACCCACAAGCCGCCACTTGACCCCGTTACGGAAAGCACCACAGCCAACAGTTGCTTTTCACAATAATGTATTCATATTAACTCAGTGAGCGTGAAATATTAATATTCAGCAGCTAAACCCGAAAGTTATTGGCCCTGTTACGTCAGAGATTGTTTTGTGCATCAACCAAAACACTCAATTTCTCAAATGCCTTGCAGTGTGTACCTTACCTCAGCCTGAAATCCTTCGACTAAGATAGCCACAAGCAGATTGAACAGAACGTAGTTCCCAAAAGTCATGAGCGCGACGAAATACAGGGCCGCCAGGGGGGAGGTAGAGGCCATGCCGTTATACAAAACCATGTTCCAGTCCTCTTGAGTTAGGATCTGCACACAAACACAAAAAATATAACTTTATATTAAATTTTCATGGGAGCAAATTAACTTATAGATAGATAGATAGATAGATAGATACATTTATATTTCACTCAATTCTTTTTTTGGTATTTTTTCTTTTTCTTTTTATATTGTGTATTTTATTTAATATTTTGTTTAATGTAAGAAAAATATAAATAAACATTTATATCTTATGTTTTCCATTTTTGATTTAATATTTATTGTAATAAAAAGGCCAAAATAAAATATAGCTGCATATAGTAGGGTTGGGCTGATAGACGATGCCATCGTCCATCGCCGATGGTTGACAGACATCACGATGCTGAGTCGGCATCATGATCCCCCCCCCCATACCCCCCGCAATCTGCCGCATCCCAATTCCGTGTTCGGAAAGGAAATTAAGTGTAGGCTACTATGGAACCCCGAAAGGGAATAAATAGCCTACGAGATGGGAGAATAAAAAAAAATATATATTTCAATACTTTCTCTTGCAATTATATCATTGGGTAATTACACTAAATTGCGGGCATCAGGGAGCCGCTACTAATATGCATGGCATTGAAACCGCTTTCGAATGCATGCTCTCATTTTACTTTCACTTTCACTTTCGAGATTCACGATCACACGGACTCTATACTACGGAGCGGCAGTACCTACCACACATTTTACAGGATTAGATATTTGTCAGTGGTGCTCAGTATCTGAAAATCATTCGCCATTGTCCTATCCGTCATCTCTCCTTACTCTGTGTATGTGGTAAGGGAACTTTCATGTACTGTAATGTAATAGTCTACCGCTAGCAAGCAGCTAACCATGTCCCTTTAGTGGCTCCGTAGAACGAGTTATTTGTTTTCCATGCCTTTCTGCATACGATTCACGCTTCGGGCACACCTTCTAACCCCGTACCCCGATGTCATCGTCTATTATGATGTTTCACTGTAGACATCGTCCGATGCCAATTTGGTAGACATCGCCCAACCCTAGCATATAGCTGCTTCAACACTGTAATTAAGTAGCCCTGAACACCTTGATAAGCTAGTTCAGGTGTATGTGATTAGGGTTGAAGCTGAACTCTGTAGTATGGTATCTCTCCAGGAGCAGGGTTGGAGAACCCTGTTAAAGACATTTGTTGATACAGCATTTTACTACAAATCTCAAAATGGCTGATGCCCAAAAAGGTTGACATAGGAAAATTAGGAATCATTCTATCGTTTATATAAAAAAGCTTTTGATAAATTTTGCCCATCTTGACCCATAGAAATTAAAATTTTGTTATACATTCAACTCTGTATGAGAATCAGAGGAAAATATAATTTTGATTTTAGATCTTATGGTTAAAAAGTTTGAGTTAGAGACACCAAATTTGCTGTGGTTAATGATGAGACTGTCCTCTGTTACAAATTTCATAAATTTCCCCTAAGCGGTTATATAAGATTCATAAGATGCATAACAATACGTTAAAGCGTTTGTAAAATACAGCATTTGACTACAAAATTTGAAATGGTCCATGTTCAAAGTTGCTGACATAGGAAAATTCAGTATCGTTTGATTCGCTATGCTGCTCCGAATCTAATGAGATCAATCTTATGATTTTTGGTCAAACTGTTCAGAAATTATAAACAAAAATTTACATTTTTTTATATATTTTGACCGAAAATACTCATGTGCCCTCAGGTCATGCTTGGTATAAAAAGTACCAAGTTTGGTCAGAATCCGCTAAAGCGTTGCAAAGATACAGCCTCATGTCCATTTTTCCGCACATTTAATCAAATCTGTTAAAGCATTTAACGAGAGTGGTATCGGAAATCTTTTGATAACTTTTTGCCAGCATTGCCTGAAAGTGATCTGAGCCAAATTTGGTGAAAATCAGACACATCGTCTAGGATGAGTTTGAAAAAGTAAATTTCTCAAATAATTCAAAATTGCGAAAAGTCCTGACCTATATAAATTTAAATGTTGGTATGCAATAGACTCAGCATGAGTCAAGGAATCTTTTGAAAATAAATTTTGCTTCTAGACCTTATGGTTCAAAAGTTATTAGCAGAAATATGAGTGCAAATATATATATATAGCGCTCATGAACCCGCCAAGAGCAGCCTCACCTCGGCCAGATCTTCTGGAATTTGCTGCTGGCTCTGATGTTTGTATAGTGGATAAACATGAGATATAATTTGTTTTGGGTAAATCTAACGGGCAGTCTTTGGTCTCATTAAACTATTATTTGTTCCAGAGCAAATAGTTTGGCTGAGAGCAAAATCTCATCACGTTATATTTTATGTAACTTCAATGTTGTATATCAGAGAGCTGCCTTTGTACTTTTGTACTTAATAATATTTTACATAAATAATAGTAGTATTTAGTATTGGGAAACAGTGTGTGTGTGTTTGTTCATTATGGTGATTAGTTACATTATTCCACCATATGATATTGACTAGATACTGTTTTACGAGTCAGCAGTAAAGACTTTTATATTGAAAGAGACTGAAACAGGGATGTAAACAAGGAAGTTATTTTTACTTTCAACAACACCTTGTAAGATGCAGCCAACAAATGCGCTGAGCAGCGCTGTCATCGGAGATCACCCTTAACAGATGAAAGGACAGTACGACAAAGATATCGCTTTTCTCAGCGGACATTCAAACTAATGTTTTATTGTGAAGATGAGATTGAGCTGAAGAATGAATGCTGTATCAGATGCAGGTAATCACACTCACTCAGTCCATCTCTCTCCCATAATACTCGACTCTACACAATACACTGCTTTTAATACAGTGATGCAATAAGCTTTTAATGAAGCAATGTTCCTTCATTACTAATTCTAAAGTGATGTTTTCAAATTAGTAACGGAGGCTTGAGCTCAGCTGTTAAACTGTCAAACTGAAATTTGAATCCATGGCAGAAGGAAGTAGTTCTGCACAAAAGAGGGTTTTTAAAGACAATCCGTTGTTGTTTCTTATGTATTTACACACTCATGCCGTCGAACTGTTGGATAAATGCAATATCACACTCGTAGCCATGCAATATGGTTATATATTGGCATGCTGTAATTACCTACGGCACTCGGCCTGCCGATACGGTATATAACCATATCACACTGCTACTCGTGTGATGTTGCTCATCTAAATGTATGTATGTATGTATGTATGTATATATATATATATATATATATATATATATATATATCAAATATAATAAATAAATACCAAGACATTTTTGACCTATTTTATATAACATTACCGTGTAGTAGTCTAAACCTTTCAGCTCTACAGAGAATAACCAGGTGTGTGTGTGTGTGTGATTAAAAAGTGTTTTCACCCAGTTCCCAGTTGCCCTGTGTTTCCTGTCACTTGCAGCAGTGCTTTCATAAGTGAGATGAGTTTTGAGAGCGATACACACCTGAAACACTGTGACAATGGCCCAAAGCAGGGAGTCAAAGTTTTTCCTGTCAGGTACTGTGTCCCCAGCCTCTGTCTTCAGGCTGAACTTGCAGCCAAATATGTGCATTCCCAGAATACTGCAGAAACAAACAGACAAACAAGCTCTGAATGTTACTCTCACATTTAGATATTCTGATACTGTATGTTTCTGATCGACCTCAACAGGATCTGAGATGAATGAATCTGTCAGATATGAGGAGCCTATAAAAATTATATCAGTGCTGTGTGAGGAGACATATGTCCTGGTTGGACAGCAGCCAGGGATGAGACCAGTCATGCTGAAGAGACAGATCACTGAATGCAGAATGCAACACACACCAAGAGATTAATGAGACAGGGGTTATACAACAAACATACAAACAGTGTTGGCGGTAACATGTTATTAATTACAGATTTTTACGTAATCAGATCGTAAACGTGTTATTTGTTACATTTAAACCAAAATATGTGAGTTACAATGGAACAATGCTAACTTGTGGTGCAAAGGCTTTGTAGGAGTTGTTGCAAGTGCGAGTATAATGGGTATTGTAGTTCTAGAGAGTGTGTATCATGCTTAGCAGCAAAGTACAGAGCACTGCAATGATTTCTTGCAGCCTTCTGCCAGATTTAGTACTTAATAACTGCAAAACAATTCTGATAAGAAAAAATAAATATGAATAGTGGACAAAATAACATAATCTGGGGACTGCATCAGAGCAGTGGTGGATTTGCTCTGTCCTGGAACTGGTTGTGCACAATTTAAGACAGTAAGAAAGTCTATATGAAATATATAGTGCTTGTAGAAACTATGCCTATATAAAATCCATAGAAATGTTTAAATCAGAAGGCTGATGGTCCTGTGACTGATTCATATGTTTTATCCTTATATATGTTTATACTTTTTCGGAAAAAAAAAATCACTGTGATCTCCACCCAAAATAAATAAAAATAATACAATACAATAAATAAATAAATAAACAAATAAATAAATAAAGTAAAACAGTGTTGTACTACATTACTTTTAACATTAACATCCCACAAAACTCCATACAAACCACCCAGTGAAAGACAAATGAGTTTCTTTCCTCATTTGTGTTCTCTATGTAGCAGAGCAATGATGAAGTCGATTAATAAATGGCACAAATATAGCTTCCAGTCTGTAATGCTAATTCATTCTCTCCATTCCCATCATCGATACGTCATCCAAGGCATCTGCTAACAATTACGAAAGCCTGTTGACTATACCCACAGGCTGGGGACAACTCTATCCATTTAAGAGACATAAATCAGGGCATTGTTTTCAGATGAGGGGTTATAAATTGAGATGGTTGGTGAGGGGGGAAGGGGATACGCTGAAAGCAAAACGTGAGTGAGAAAGACGGATCGGCGGGATTGGTTTATGCACTCAATCCTACAGCAGCCTCCATCTGTCTCAGTGCACTCTGCTGGAATTGCAGCGCTGCAGGGGGAAGGCGGGTGAGTCAGTGGGCACCAGGGGCCTGAGTGTTATTGTTCTGCCCTCCATCAATCTCACTCGGATCCTTATGGGCCTGTCACTCGCAGCTGAAGCTGAGGTGTACTCTGTGCAGCTGAGACGCTCAGCCATGCAGAGCCCGGCGTGATCCAGCTGCTGTCAGGTGTGGGATTTTATAAACCTTCACCGCTTTGTGTGATAAAGTGTGCAGCGTTTATTACAAACAAGTGTGCGTTTGTGTGGACAGGTACGGCCAGAGACTATGAGTAAGCACACGGATGTGAAACACACATTGAGATTCATTCAGTTACAATTGCATATGAGAAGCATTGGAATGCAATAGCAAAGAATAAATAAAATAAAATAAATAAATTAATGAATGAAAGAATAAATAAAATATAATTACCATAAATAAAAACTAATATATATATGTATATAAATAAATAAATAAATAAATATATGTGTGTGTGAGATTGAATTTTTTCTTTTTTCTATCTTTTGATTCTATGTAATTAAACAGGCCAAGATATCATCAGTTAAATACTTATACCTACAGTGGGGAAAATATTTATTTGATCCCCTGCTGCTTTTGTACGTTTGCCCACTTACAAAGAAATGAAGGGTCTGTAATTTTTATGTTAGGTTTATTTTAACGTATAGAGACAGAATATCAACCAATAAATCCAGAAAAAAACACATTTTATAAAGGTAAGACATTGATTTGCATTTCAGTGAGTGAAATAAGTATTTGATCCCCAAGCAAAACATGACTCAGTACTCGGCGCAGAAACTCTTGTTGGCAAGCACAGAGGTAAGACGTTTTTTGTAGTTGGTCACCAGGGCCCGTATTCACAAAACATATTAAGGCTAAAAGTAGCTCATAACTCGCCGATTTAAGATAAAATCTTAAAAATAATGGGCGTGTCAGTCCTAAATTTAGGACTCCTAAATTTTTGTTCTAAGAGTATTTCACAAAGTGTTTTAGCGCTAAAACTAGCTCTTAAATCTGTGAAACATTAGGAGTAGTGAAGAGGACTCCTAAGTCACTAAGACCAAATCTGAACTATTCTAAAATGGCTGTTGCCAGCAATCTGCCTCAGAATATAAACATTTTAGAAACATTTGACGATAATGAGCTTTTAAAAAGGTATCAACTTTGGTTTGGAGGTTATCCCAACTCCAAATTTTTGATTATATCCTTTATAGCTGTTCTCGCTTCCAGTTTGGTTTTCTTTTATGTTTGCATGTCTTACTATCAGCCATGATTATTCTACTCTACTAATTAAAAGGCTGTTTATGTGCATATTACCAAAATTTTATTAGTCGCTTAGTCGCAGAAAAAAAAATTCCACAAGAAGTGACGAAATCACGCAGTCCGTGACGGACAAATCGTTAACGGCTGGTCTATGTGTTAATATAGTACATCGGGCAGGACATCCATATGCTCTCCTAACATTCATCGACCTAAAATATGGCTTATCATCTGAAATATATATGTAGTAGCAACTTTACATGGCAGCTCATTTGTTCTGTGGTCCATTAGATGGTTTATTTATGCTGAAGCCAGTCACGAAACCTACTGACGTTCTGTTGCTTAAATGAATCCAGATAGGGGGGGTCAGTTCTTGCTGTCCTAGTGCTTTTCGACACCGGAGGTGGTTTGGTAAATCACTCTCTCCTTGTGTTCCTTGTAAAGATAAGCAGAGCGAGACAGGAACTCATTTGAGAAAGTTGGCGCCTGGGCTGACCATGCTTCAGCTTTTACGACTCTCATATGGTTGAGAAGAGATGTTAGTTTTCTGGTGGAATGCGGAGATTCCATCGTTCATTTGTGTGATGTTCGCAAATGCCTTACATATAGCTCAATCTAATGTTAGCCTAGAAAAAAGTGAGCTGTTCACGTGTTTGTGCGGAGTGTGGAAGCTGAACAGAAGCGTGCTTGGGCTATTTCATGACAGATGGAGGCGCCGGTGCGATCATTTGCTCTTAAAATACTTTGTCATTTTTAGTCATACAAATAAGAGTAATGCATCTTTTGTATCTGTAAAGACTCTACGTTTATTCGTGTGCACTCAGAATAACAACGAAACGTTGCGCTTTTGTAAAATAATGAAAGCAAACAGGATGCGCTTTCTGCC